TTCATGTGGGTTTAAGAGAACAAACTTAAAGGTTAATCATCTGGGAGTTATCTACAGCTGTCTCTTCGACGAAGGGTGGAATGGTTAATTTCATAGCCTGGCAGGGAAAACTGAAACACAGAAAAGAGGCCTTCCCAGAACGGGGCCCTTGAGCACAGGACACATAGAAGAGATTACACCTTGAAAATGAGCTTTAACAGGACAACACATCGAGTCATATTTGAAGGCAGGACTGACGTGAAATTTACCAAGGACAGAATCTAAAACTGCGACTTTATTAATGTTATAAAAAGAAAAATGTATAAAGCATGAAAAATCTTTAGGGGCATTTAATACACTTCCTACAACTTCTAAAAAACCTCTTTAGAGAAACAAAGCATAAGTCACCACAACACTCCGAATCAGCTCTTACACATAACCTACGCATTGTTAAAAGCAGACTGACAGCTGGGTTGTCGTAGGAAGAATGCCCATTTAACATTTAATAGATGTTCATAAAGTGCTTCAAAAGTGCCTCTTCATGTTTACTCAGCTTGCCAAGAAGACATGTTAATGAACATCCCAGCAGCCACCCAGCTAAGCATCCCTGCTAAAGGTATGCAGCAGAGCCGAGTACGCAACACAGTGCATCTCGTTCTCCGCACAGCCCATTTGTGGGTGTAATAACTGTAAAATGAGTCCCACATCAAGGGACAGTCACAAAGCAATGTGTTTTATGAGCCTCAGCTGGAGGAAACACCCCAGAGTGATGACAACGAGTGTTAGCCCAGCTACAACCACAAAACTAATAAAGCTACGCTGGCTAACGTCACAGAAAAACCCTCACAAGTGGTCTGAGAGGAGTGACGGGATTCAAGTTTGAATGGTGGTAAGGAGAGGGCAGCGCACGCACAGAGGTTAGTGACACCAACACTAACGCAGCCATATCTGCTTATACCTGTATTGTTCTATTGCAAAAGAAATTTGAGAGAGAAAAAAATATCAAAGCTCATGTGAGCGCTGGACAATCCACATTCCTTCCATTTTAGGTCTGTGATTACATTTAATTCCAGAAAGTCCGAGATTGAAATACCACGTAGGTTCAGTCTCTTTAGCGTAACTCTTGGTGATTACATGTCGAGGTCTCCAGTGGAGTTATCTAACCCTTTACCATAGTCTTCTGTAGATAATTCACATTACTACTTAGCGATTATACTGCGTTTGCGTCCCAGGAGATGAATGTAAAGTTGGTGACAGCTGAAACAAATTAAGATTTCTGCTTTAACAGGATACAAGAGCATATTTCCATTTATCAAATGCATAATACTTATATTGCAGGACAGTCAGATCAGTGCATTTCCAGTCTCTCAATATTTAAGAATAGTTGCTGATGTTTTTTATTGTTTTGTGATTTTTTTTTTTTTTTAAAGCTATCTGATTTCTGTGACAGCTTCGCAGATCTGCTGTTCTACAGAAACAAACAGAAAACACCCATCAAATGACATGAAAAAAACAAACTAAATATCATTCAGTCAAAGACAAAATGTTCTGATTGAAGAGAAATTTTTTTTTTTTCCTCTTTGCCCCCATCATGTCATCACCAATCCTCTTCCAGCAACTATATTTATAACACACAGCTGAATACAACAAGTCAATGCAGGCTCTCAAAGAGCACTCTGGGAAACGCAGTTTCAAAGGCAACTAATTTCTAATACCGGCACCAAAGACTCGCCAACAGTAACACACTGTGTTAGCAGTTTCAAGTCAAGCTTCACCAAAAGGCCCGAGAGCTAGCTGAAAAAAAAAAGTACTACAACACCCATGATCCTCAGCAGTTTAAACTTGTAAAGTGCAGCTTTAATACATATGGTAATACCAGTTAAGGCATTTTGTTTTGTTCTAAGATATAAATTAAGCCTGAGATGTTAAAGTGCTGTCATCTGTCAGCATTACTGGATACATGTCTGGATTTTTCTAGGAACCTTTTCCGTTCTTAACTGTTTACAACACCACTGCTAATATTAAGCTTCAGCATTAGTTTATTTTTCCAGGTGTACAAAGGGAAGACGTGTCTCATAAAGTTTCTGGCTTCCTTCATAATCTCCTAATTAAGACACAGCTGTACTGTTTGCTTAAAAGCAATATACCAGTGTGTGCCTAAACATCTTTCCCATTTCACGTAAACCACTGTTATATTGAAACTGATCACCAAAAGGTCTCTGCAATGCAGCCATTAAAAACACTCTGACATATAAGTGCAATGGGAGGAGAACTTTTTACAGCAGAAGAGTAAACATAATTTTTCCTCAGCACTCTTCACGCCACCATCTGCTCCTCTGTGATAGGGTGCTCTGCCAACTCAGGTGCCTGCAAAGTATTGTAAACAGTGGAGTCTGCAAGACAAACTATGATAACAGTTTTTTGGGTTTTTTTTTTAAATGATCTCAAGTGCCCGTGTTTAAATGTCATGTATTAAATATTTTCTGTGAACATGAACCACCAAAACCACACATCAAATATGTAGTGGTCAGGTTTGTTTATTTACAGTTAAATATTGAACATGGTTGCTTAACACAATGATTAATACACTTCATCGTGGGATGCTTAATGAAACTGCTGCGTTAGGAGGAACTCTTGATTTTTCGGTTGAAGTCGTTTTCTTCTTGGTCTTCCCCCAAACGTCTTCAAACTTCGGGACTTTCTGTTTAACTTCACGTCAAAGTTTAAGACCGCCGCCCCATCAATTAAATACCGTTATTGTTACGCTTTTCCTTTTACATTTTATAACAAATGCATGTGTGAAATTCGCATAGGCAGGGGTGTGGAGCATCAGGAGCAGTGTCATCTCAAACCACTTCCTTTGACGCATGTCATTTCCACTGTGCCAGACTGAACACACCCTATTATAACACTTCTCACTGTGGCCACCCAGTTTCACATGCACAGGTGTATAAAGAATGACTGTATAAAGTGACACTCAACAGTTTTCTGGACACCAACAATTGTGTAGAGGTAATTCAGAGAAGACGAAAACTGTCAACAGAACCCGAGTTGGTTTGCACAGCTTAAGACTAATAATCTGTAATTTTCTCTCTCCACAGTGAGGTCAGAGAGCTACAGAGCAAGTGATTTAATGTCTTGCTGAAAGACACATCAGCAGGGTCACGCAAACGCTGTTATGTACAGTATGGCATGAAGGTAACCAAAGAGAGACTCTTGGATAGAAGGCCACTGAAATGTGATGCATAGAAGCTGCTTTCTGTCTGGATTTGTGTGCTTTTAAAGGTGCTGTTCGCTCTGCAACTAGTTACTCTGCCATTGTGAAAGACTTTGCCAGCTGAGAACACCCACCTATGGAAAGATGATTTAACATCCAACTAGTCTCCAGTGAACCTTCCAGACATAAACTGAGGGGCTGTTAGCTGTTTTAGGCTTAATGATAATTAAGACAATGAATGGTGAATAGCATAGCAGGGAGAAATATAAAAACGCAACTCTAACTATAAGGAGGATGCTTGTGGTGCTGGTGATTTCACTTTCCACCCTTTCCAACCAAATAAAAACAGTGTAAAGGTGTAATAAGCTAGAGCTTTGTATTTTCGCTCAATAAACTGATGTGATCAACTGCCTGTTAAATGACTATCCGGTTAATCAATAAATCTTTCCGTTTCCAGTGCTTTAATTATGTATAACATTGTGAAATTGTTGACAGATGTGCTCTTCCCACTATCTTTGTGCTCCGAGGGCCTCCGAGGGGGGTGATAAGAGAAGGTGAACTCCGGCAGGTATTGAGCCTGTAGATCCGACTCTTGTGCAGTAATATCGGGACATTCGTGGGAAGCCTTTGCCGAGCACCATTTAAAGGCAGCGAAAGGAGAGCCTGGTGCTTTGTCTCGTACGGAGCAACTGCTGCTATGAAATGGATTCACAGCTGCCGTGAACAATCCATTTCACGGCAGTGTTGGCGTTCAGTCTCCAACTGAAACGCATTCTGAATATAATGTAAACCATAAGCAGGGAAGGCCTCTGCACACCGAGGCGCGACCCCCACTCCAGCCTTTCGGGCTTGTGAGTGAATTTGCTTTCGAGAAAAATGCATCAGCTTGCATAATATCATCTGAAATCACAAAGCCTCCTGCTCGATTTTGTTTGGAAGGGGAAGAAAGAGAGAAAAAACACGAGTGGAAATCGTTGAGCAGTAATTACACTTCTTCTCTCCCCCCGCCCCTCCTCAGGCTGCTGATACAGTGTTGCACACCCACCCAGCGCCCACTCACTGGCTACAAAAGTGGCCTCGCTGCTCTGCCATCTCATGGAAAACAGATGGATACTCGCCTCTTTTCCACCTCCAGGTGAGCTGCCTCTGTGGGATCCCCGGCCCACTGAGCAGTGTGCACGATCGAGGCTGTGGAGCCTGGGCCGCCGGGGCTACCTTCTAGTCTCCAGAAGCCCCTCACTATCACATAACCCCCTTCCCGTCTAATCAACAGCCAATGCAGCCGCATACTTCTGCGTCAAAACGCCACACGCTGACTTTACCTGCCTAATTAGGCTTTAAACACACCGAAACCTACAATGACAGGTAAGAAGGCACCGGCGCAAAGATCCCCGCTGCGCAGCCGAATTTCGCTCCACAGTCAATAACGTGGATATCATTAAATGTCTGTTATGTCATCGTAAATATCCATCAAACCACTGCCGCCTGTGTGAAAAAATTCGCTCGACAGCCTTCAATTTAACGCAGCCATCTAAACACGATGCTGCAAACACTCCCTGCCTTGTTCATCTCCAGCCTTCGGGGCCTTACGTTAAGGTGCCCCGGTGAATCTGCGTGCAGTTCTAGTGCGAGCAGCAGATTTCGGCAGAACATGTTTGGGTTCTGCCCGGAGACAAAGCACTGCGCAGGGATGCGAGACAGGGAAGGCATAAATCCCGAGAAGGACAGGCGGAAAGCTACGGCCAAGTCGCCGAAGAGGGGGAGAAAAGACGATTCATTCTTGAAGCCATTAAGCTGAACTTACCTTCCCGTGCCTTCAGGAGAACCGTGTTGGCCACGATATTTTCAATCTCCATTGTCAGAATGTGAATCCCGAGCAGTCGCGATACATTTCACTCAGAGGAAAAAAGACGGTTTTTCTGATCAAACGTGCCGACGACGGTGAGGCTGCTGCACGCGCGCAAGGCGGACTCTGCGCTGGCGCATAGTAGGAGTTTTAATAGTGGTCGTCGTTCCTCTCCATTGCAAGATGTGTTATCAAACCCTACCTACACAGCTATACGGTTACGACGGGGCTTGTTAGCATTCACAGCCTCCCTCCCGTCCCTCTCCGCCTGCTTTCCTTCCTGTTTCAGCTCCCTCCTCCTCCTTTTCTTCCTCCTCCTCCTCCTCCTCCTCGCCCCTTCTCTGCACAACGAACCAGCAAGAGCAGGAGGGATCAATTTACAAGCGGCACAACTACACACAGATCCACACACAAGTGCATTCATGTATACATGCATGCATGTCCAAGACTTAACCTCCTGAAACTGCCTATGGTTATGTCATTTATTTGGGATTAAAACGTGTTTATGTGTGAGGTTTTTTCCAAGTTTCTCCCGGGAAGAAAAACATAACGTGATACATTCAGAGCTTACTGGAAAGATCTAGGAAAGGAGACCCCCCCCCCCATCATCATTTTTTTTAATGAATCCAAAAAGCCTTTCTAAACATGAATGACTGTGTTAATTGGTAAAGTTTCCCTCGCCAGAATTTCCTGCTCAGCTGTTGCATGAGCCGCTGCTTGTTCAGGAAACACGGATGTCACAGAGGCCTAAAGTTGTGTGAACAATGGTGTCGGGGTTTAAGCTGCTGCAAGTCGAAGCCTGACGTACAGCGATAACAAGTTGGTTTTCCGCCTATCATGTCCCAGAAACCAGCTGGGACTGTAATCTGACTCATTGATCTAGTAAACCCTTAGGGGGTGGGGGTATGCAAAAAGCATTCCGCCTCCTGAGATAATGTCGAAGAGGTAACACTTTATCAACTTTTGTTTAAAAATGTTTGGAGTTTTGTGACTGGTTTTGCTTCTGTGCATGAGAATGAGCAACTACTACGACAACACAAAGAAATCTCTTTCGGTTTATGTTTTGCTACGAGGGTCATGCAAGAGCGCCCAGGGGTAGGCTGTGGAGAATCAAAGAGCTCAAAGGTCACTGATTCTCACAGGCTTTTGTTAGGCTTTTGTTCAAGATACAGAATCGATCAAACGTGTTCTGCCTGGACTGGATACGCGGTGTGAAAGCAGGAAGACCGAAAGTAAATGTCAGAATAAATGTATTTGTTAATAAGGATGTGTGTTGTGTTGCATAAACAATAACTGCCAGCTTCCTCGTCCAGACCAACACAAATCATACTTGACAAACAGTGGCTCGGGTGGTGCGCATAGATTCAATGCCTCCACCTTGTGGTGATAACACAGAAATACAAAACGTGCATTACGTCATACAGAGTTGCATCGTTACAGTTTAAGTAGTATTTTGAGAAAAATAAGCTTTTATATAGACAGATAAACGTATCATGTGTGAGTCTGACATGCAGCTTTTGCATATTTACTTACTGTATTTAAAGTATTTACAATAAGTAATTTGGCTAATTTTAAGTCATTTAAATTAACATAATCACCATGTTGTAACAGAAACCTGGTTACTCGGATTGTTAATCAACCATAGACAAAGAGTTTTAATTCATTTGAAAACCTGAAGTTTAGCCTTGGCCACACTAGCTGGAAAACTCAAAAAACAGTTTTATTTGTTGTTATCTATTGTTATCTAAAGCCTTACTCAGACTTTTGAATCTGGTTTAGTGCTCAGCTCAGATAAAAATAATTATTTTGTGTGATTTTAACATCCATGTAACTACTAAAGCTCATCAGGTCATATAATCTATTATTAGACTCAACTGGCTTTATTCACAATGTAAAAGAACCCACCCACCACTTTAATCACGCTCTAGATCTTGTTTGAAAATGTTACAAAATCGTGTGACAATCTCACAGATTAATTGTGTGCTGCTTGTTTTAACAGATTGTGATGTTTTCTTGAGGTTAACGTTTCAAACAGATAATGGGTGGGATGAGATAAACTTTCCAGGTAACTGCCCAGGTAATGAGAGGTAAGGATAGGTCTTCCAGGGTAGGTAGCTGTTGGATTGTGATGTTTTGTGAGCTTTTATGACTCTCTGCAGAGCGTTTCTGTGTGCCTCAGTACCTCCTCTTTGTATGCACAATCATTGTTTTTCAGAATTCTGAGAAAAAGTCTGAACTTTTGTCTTTACTTGCCTTGGAAAAGAAAACTTATTTACCACAGATCATAACTGTGATTGCAAACGTTGCCAGACAAGACTAGTTACAAAAAAACAAAACAAAACAAAAAGGTTGTGAAAGCAGCCTTCAATTCTAGGTAATTCCGTTCAATTTAACAGCCATACTCATTTAAATATATTTAAATAAAGTTAGTATATAATTTATAAATATTTATAAATATTACAAGCATTAAGCACTGTGATCATTGCTGTATCAAAAGAAAATGCCATCTATAATTATCAATATTAAGTCAACATTAATTAACCAAACACAAAAATGTTCTAGTAAACAAATTTGTTAATTCATGGCAGAATCTTCTTGCTCTGAGGTGAGACTACTAACCACTGCAACACCATGTCTCCCTATTACAGATCTATGTAAACGCCCCCTCTAGCAAGGCACCTTTTCACCTCTGCAGACCTCTGTTCTTAATGTGCACTACATACTCCCACTTTACTGTTTCACTGCTTTGAGATTCCCACAATATCCTTCAAAGTTCAGCAGGTGTCATATAGGGTATTTTGACTGCAAATGTAAAAATAGGTCAAATCTTCCCTTAAGGCAACTTTCTTCTGCTTGGCTGCGTCTAACCAACCTTAGAAAGTTTTGAACAGCAGGTGGGTGTGGCTACTGTGCTCACAGTCTGAGATTAATTATTTATGCCCTCACTAACATCATTAAGATCCAACAGCATGATTCTTTTGCTGACACGGGACATTCAGAGCAGCCTGGAGTCTGAGCCCTTTGCTCAGAGGGATTATACAGACAGTAACCTCATTAATTGAAACTTAAAATGTGAAATGAATATCCACCATTGTAACAGTATGTATAAAGAACTTGTACTTTTTTTTAGAATAATTTCTTTTATTCCTTGTTTTATACTCCACCACAATTTAGAGTAAAATATTGTAAAATTCAGTTTAAACTAATGAATTACTGCCTATGCAAGGTATCTTAGAGCGAGAGGCAGGGTACACCCTGGACAGGTCACCAGTCTGTTGCAGGGCTGACACTTAGAAGAGGACAACCATTCGCACCTATGGACAATTTAAAATTTCCAGTTAACCTATTCCCACTAACTGCATGTCTCTGGGAGGAAGCCAGAGTACCCAGGGAGAACCCGCGCAAACATGCAAAATCCATACAGGAAGACCCTGGCCTGATGGTAGAATTGAACTCAGAAACTTCTTGCTGTGAGCCAACAGTGCTAACCACCGTGCCAACAATTCATTTTCATTTTTTCCCACCCATTTCATTTTAATGCAAGCCACACTGACGATGCCAGATGGTGCAGTTGGCATTAACGACTGTATGAAGATGAGGTGATGATTTTGAATCAAAGTTCTACACAGTCTCAAAACATCTGAAAACTCAACATTTGCAAGACTGACAGTCATAAAAATAAGTGAATGAATTTAATAAAGTTGTATTTCCTGTTTTACCTGTATTACCTGTTCATGGTGAGAGATTCATTAGATTAGGGTCATTTGCAGTTTTGGAGAAGTGGTCAAACCAGGCTTTTCTCACTGTATGATAGAGGTTACGCACATATCCACTGCATGTAGGGGGATTACAGTTTAAAAAGAATTTGCATCTTGGTTCTGTTTTGGACCACAGAGAGCTAATCCTGACGTGTTTTTTTTTTTCCAAGTCAAGAAAAGTTAAGCGAATGGTTTGTAGAATAAATGGCGGCACTAGTGGATCTTTTTTCCCCCCTGTCTTTACTGGCCTGGTGTGTTCATGCATGCAAGGAATTTAGTGAGTGTGTAGACACAAACATGGCAATAAAGTTGAGAAAAGATGGAAGCAACCAAATTATTAATATTAGGCTGTAAGATTATGACACTTAGAAATATAGTCTTTAGTCTATGTCTACTAGCGGCTTGATTTTTAAGCATATAGGACAAAAAGTTTCTGTATACAGACAGTGCAAAGATCTGAATGTCAAGGTAGCTTAAATAGCACAAACCAGTTTCCCCCTCAACCGCAACCCCCCCTTTAAATTATTGTGTGGTGTAAATAAGTTTTACTATGTGCTTAAGATATTCACCTTCAATTAACATTCTATTTAAAATAAATAATTAAGGTCAGTCTGAGATTTGAGAAAACAAGTGCAGGTTGAATTTTCTCAGTTTTTCCACATTCAGCCAATTTAATTACAAAGACACATTACTGTATTAAATCAGAGAAACCTGTCAGCAGGTTCATTGGACGTTGGTGTAGGATAACTGGCCATGCTGTGATGTTTATTAATGAGAAAGCTGTAAAACTGACGAGTCAGACATAGGGCTTGGATTAAATTGCACCTGCAACACAAAGCTCTCTATGGAAAAATACAGTGAAAGCGTAAAATGCACATGTGGCTTCTTTGCAACTTTTGCAATGTGCAAACCCATCCTGTGGGCTAAATTGAACTCTTTTGAGGGCAAGCTGTATTAGATGTGGCTTAAACATTAAATAGGTTGTAGGTAGTGCTTAAACACTGTGTTTAAACACTGCTCTGTTGGTATTAGGGGCCAAGAAACTATTGCCTACATCATTAAACCACCAAGGCAGGATGGAGCCATGCTTGCCATCCTATCATCTCGAAGAAGCCTGAACATTCTCCTTTGACATTTCTCAAGACATTTTTGCTCAGAAAAATTACAATTAAATACTTTGTTACTGTACTTTTACAGGTATCTGACTTTACTTGAGTATTTATTTTTCTGACAAGTTATTACTTTTACTTCCTACATTTTAACACAAATGTCGGTGTTTTCTACGGCTCAACAAACATCAGCAAATATCACACAAACTTTTTATGGAGTTTGTCACACACTGTGTCTGCTTTCTAAATGTACAGCTGTTGTATTTCCCAGAATGAGAGATAAGGTCACTCAGAGAAGGGGAAAGATATAAGAAAGACAGGGTCGGAGAGGAAGAAGAGCAGTTATAGTTAAAGGTAATGTCTGCCCATTGGCATTTGATAAACTGGAAATTTAAAGCTTACATGTAATTTCCTAATTATTAATCAGGTATTGGGTGTGTATGTTATATTAGATATATATCATATCTGTTATTTTTGTTCACATTGTTAAACAAACTGTTAGTGACTAAGGTATACTAACTTAAGTATTTAAAGGTTGAATGAAAATACTCTGCAGTTTAGTTCAGAATAAACAGATTAGTTTGCTGTACTGTGGTAAATATGCAGTAAGTAACTGTGAATGGTTAATGTTGGTTTACATCAGTTGTAGCAGAAATAATTTTGAATTTAAGTTGACAATATTACGCTTAGATTCATTCTTCTACCAACTTTATATTGTCTAACATAAAGACAGAATAAACAGTACGCTTTCAGCAAAGGGAATGGAAATTAGCCAAGACAGCTTGTGAAATATTGGGTTACATTTTGTTGAAATCAGCTGCGTAAGTCCACAAACAGCCTGAAACCTCAGAGCAGCACCAGCACATGTCAGCTGACCACAGCCAGTACACAAAGAAAATCTGCTGGAGCTCAAAAAAAGAAATGATTATTATGATTTTATATATATATATATATATATATATATCCGAACTTCTACTTAAATCATTAAAGTCTACACTTTTTCCTCACTTAGGAAAGTGTTTGAGGTGTGAAGAAGCTTCAGCCGTCGGTCTGTACGCTGATGCTGTTTCCTGGCTGCGTGCGTTTTCACGTGACCCCACGAGCGAGTGAGCCTCAGAGCCAGCGGCTGACACTTAAAGCAAAAGCAAACACAACAAGCAAACTGATTCACTTCGGCAGCGGACGCCTGTAATTTTCGAGGATGTTTTCACTCGGGGAGAAAATGGAGTTTCTCATAGGAAACCCATTTTCAACGCCGGTCGGACAGAGAATCGGTAAGCAGCTGCTTTTTAAAACCGCTCAGAGTGGTGTTCACGTCGGTTCAGTTTGCTTCCATTTGTATATTTTCCGTTTTGCTTTTAAAAACTCCGCTAACACGTGACAGTGGCGACAAACCAGTTTACTTCCGGTTTTCGCATTTTATTCTATTTATTAATCAACTCCAAATTTGTCAGGAAAAATAAGATAGTTTTTACAGTCAATGACGCAGGAGAGGCGGGATTAATTTCCTTGATTCTTCCACGTGATTGGTCGATATAAGTTGAGTGGCAATTCATTTGGCGAATCCGGAAGCCGCTTGGCGTTCCTTCTCACTTCCTTAATCACTGATGTGTTACAGTTTCACACTATGCCTAAGTGTCAACAAGTGTGTGCCGTCACACATCTTATGAAGCATCTGCCATTTGCTCGTAATGGCACCGGGATAGTTCTCTTTATCCAGCCACTAAAAGCTCCCACAATCCACTGCAAGTGCAGATGCCTGCAAAGATGTGTAACATCAGGACAGTCATCGGTATTAAGAAAATGTCACACACCCATCTCATGCCTTCCTTCCTCTTATCTCCTCCACTCACTTTCTCACGTATAAATGTCAGCTACTTCTGAGGCAAATGAGAGCAGAATCAGCTGACAGTCACATGAAGTGGAAGGGAGCTGGGGAAAGAGAGTGGGAGGGAAGGGGTGAGGAGGGAAATGGAGTAAATGGGATTGGGGAGTGTTGGAAAGGAATGTGGAGATTTAGAGACTTATGAAGAGCCCGTGTAGGGTGGAGTGGGGAAAAAAAGCAGGCTTTGATTGCAAAATAGTTTGGAGGATGCAGGATTTTAGGGGAAACCTTTCTAATCAGCTCAATGCTACAAATAATGAGTTACTGAAACGTTTATCAAGAAAGTGTTATTATATTTTAAGTTTTTTGTTGGGTTAAAAAAGGGTGGGACCTTTTGGTAAAAGAATATGACCCATATTTTAATTTTTCTGTCAATTTATAGGAAAAATTACTTTAAAGAAAACACTCTGTGGCATGCACATAGTGTCTCATGTAGGATTTTATCTGTCACATCTTCACTTTTTTGCCTTTTTTTCTACTAAAAGCTCCAAAACCAACTCAACCTAGTCAGCACTAAACAGCAGACAGACACACACTTGGTAATGACCTGGTAGACACAGAGGTATATTTAGCATGTGTATTTATGAAGTGTTAATAAGTGTGTTAATAAGGTATTAGTCTGCTTAAACGATATCGATTTTACTGTATGTTTCCCAAAACATAAAAAATCAGTTAACCCTGGTTTAATCTGTGCTGTTGCTATTTAATTCCTAGCATAATGAACACTACGGTATGCAAATGTGTAAACTGTTTCCCATTGTAACTGATCATTTTTTTTGAACCCTCCTCGTGAAAGCAGAGCATAAAATGATCACATGGTGACCTTTCTTTTATAAATATAGACCATTGGTTCACATTTTTGTCTTTTGCATTATGATAAGTAGACCTTCAAGTCTGGTCTGTGAAACAGAAATATTGAACCCTTAAATGTGTTGTGTTATGTCGATGTCATGAAAGAAGGGGGAAGTCTTCTGTTTACTGTGATTTTCCAAATATTCCAATTTCAGTATTATCATATTAAATGTAGTTTGATCTCATTCCCTTACTTTTGACAGAGCAAGCGACCAATGGATCACTACAATCGGAAGACTGGGGGCTCAACATGGAGATCTGTGACATCATCAATGAGACAGACGAAGGGTAGGGATGATGTTATTTGTTGTGTTGGGGTATTTTTGGTCTGTCAGTGAAGCACACATGCAGGAAGAGACAACAGTTCTATTAATTCCTTATTTCTTGTTTTCTCTGCACAAGTCACATCGAAGTCAAACTTGTTATTACACATGCTCACTATATAACATTTTAGCTTTATTTATAATAGTATTAGTAATAATAAATGACACAAACTAATAAAAAGTTTAAATTTGTTTTTTAATAACTTTAAGAGATAAATAGCTAAGGCAAGTTACGTAAGCATGTTTCCATGTTTTGCTTTTGCATTACTGTGTCACTTCCTTTATGGGTTTGTTGCTACTTTCAGTGCTGGTTGTCACCATTGACCTACTTACGTCTAACACTGTCTTCTAGTTAATTACGCATGTTTTCTGCTGAGAAAGCCTCTCTTGACACATGTTTTTCTGAAGGTTTCCTGTTGTAAGGGACTTTTTCCTCCCCACTGTCATGAGGTACTCACGGTGGATAGTTTAATTGTTGTATTATAGGCTCATTACCTTCCAATATCAAACACCTTAAGAAGACTGGGCCATAGAAATAAAATTAATGAAACGGAATTGAAAGTAGTTAATTCAGAAGACACAGAACAGATTAATAGGGTTAAAAGTGTAGGTTACCTGTCCCAGTTAAGACAGTTATATTTTTTGTTTTGCTAGTTTTTACCCCTCAGCTGTAAAAGGCTAATGGGGTATTGTTGAGCTCATCCCAGCTGCCATGTGGCATGAGGCGGGGCACACCCAAAACACGTTTTAAAGCTTTTGTGAGATTTTAAAGGAGGAAAGATTTTAACATTTTATGTTGTCAGTGTTAAAGGTTTTTGTCACTGCATAAATACTTGTGGTAGCAGATAGTCAGAAAAAAATCAATTTTCACCATGCCAATGGAAGTACACACTTCAATTAATATAAGTGCGACTGAACTGAAGATTTACAATTTACAGATTAAAAAATTAGCTAACAGATATGACCATGAAACTGTGAAATTATGCATAAATATGCAAATAATTTTCAAACATGTACTTATTTCATATATTTAGTTATTTGTCCACTATAAATAACTATATATATAGTTATGTCCACTAGATAAACTGTGGAGAAGTAAACACTAGCATGTGCATTTTCTTTGCACTCATGTTGAAAAAACAGGTTAAAGCAGCAAAAGAAAATATCTAAATTCTCCATTACAAAATAAGTTGTTATATATAGTTTTGCCAGAGAAAACCCATTTTTAATTTAATAATCTACAGTCTTTTGTTAATGACTTAGTTGCATATTTAAATTTTTAAACTTTAGTATGGATAAGTAAACAAACATCATGTGATGCTTTTCCCCAGGCCGAGAGATGCAGTTAAAGCCATTAAGAAGAGAATAGTAGGAAACAAGAACTTCAGAGAGATTATGTTTGCTCTCACTGTGAGTAATTGTCTGTCAAAGATTGTATGTTTTTCTTTTTGTGTTATTTGTTCTGTCATGGCCTGTCAGATGTGAGAGGAATATTTTGCAGGTCAAAATGATCTTTGTCCTGGTTGGCTGTTATCCAAGAGGAGATGATTTCTGTGTTTACTTGTGCAAGTAGCTCAGTTAACTCGGGTCTTAGTTAACCCATTGACGTCATGCTAGAGAGAGATAGACTTTCATTTTGGTGCAGCTAAAATCACTTTTTTTTTTAATATGTTACGTGTTGTGTTGATTTTTTTTCACTCTCATATAGGTTCTGGAGACGTGTGTGAAGAACTGTGGCCATCGTTTCCACGTTTTGATTGCCTCACAGGAGTTTGTTGAGGGGGTTTTGGTTCGTTCTATTCTGCCCAAAAATAACCCACCCACTATCCTCCATGACAGGGTCCTCAGCCTCATACAGGTATGTACATGACAGAGTGTTTGTGCACAAGTGCAGTGGTGTCAAACCCTACAATCTGAGGGGCAGAATCGGCCCAGCAAAGACTCAAATCCAGCCTGCTGGATGGCTTTGGAAAATTTAAATGAGGGCATCAATTTTTTTGACTTTTTTTGAAGCTTTACAACCCCAACACCCCCACAACCACTTATACTACACCAAAGTATTTAATCAGAATCAGGATATTTTAATAATCCCAACAGACTGAACTAATTAAATAATACAATATATTGCAAAGTTTAAAAATTTAAGGAATAGCACTATTATATACAGATCGCTCAATTATAAAGATATTACAGAGGATATTACTCAAGATCAAAATAGGCTGTATGTGGTCCTCCATGTAAAATGAGTTTGACATCCTGGCACTAGAGCTTTAGCTTAAGATGATTTGTATAAAAAAAAAAATCAATTGCCACTGTTTAATTTATTAGTCAATTCAAATTAGACAACCTAACAGAATCGCTTTTTTAATTTACATTGTGAGGCTGGAATCAGTCTCACAGACTCTGTTATGTCTATGGAAATGTGCAACAGTGTTATTTTTAATGCTCACAATCCAGGTGTCTACATTGATATGTACATTCCTCTGCTACATGGTCAGAGTTCTTGTGGGTAATCATAAACAAAGACCGCTAACATTAACATAGTCTCAGGCTTAGAAATGCTCTAGGACAGTACACTTCTGTTCTCTGCATGTTGCCTTTTATGTGTCGTTCTATGTGCCACTGGATGCAGATTTAGGGGTCAGTCATCTCTTTACAATCTGTTACATGCTCTCTTTCATCTTCAGTCATGGGCTGATGCATTTCGAAGCTCTTCCTCCCTGGCGGGGGTGGTACATGTATACGATGACCTAAGAAGACGAGGTCTGGAGTTCCCCATGACAGACCTGGATGCTCTGTCCCCCATCCACACACCAAATAGGGTGAGACTATCTTCCAGTGAAAAAACAAAAGACCACTTGAATGTTTGGATAGTTCTTGTACCGTACCTCTCTGACAAATCTTGCAGAGCACCCCAGAAAATGGAACCGCTGAGATGCCCCCTGTCACTGCTCCTACAAATGAGTCACAACTGGAAGCTGCTTCAAGCATTTCCAGTCAGAATACATCACCTTCATTTCAGCCCAGTGAAGGACCAGTCTCACTTACTGCAGAACAGGTTCCACTGACCAAAAATACCTCTCATTGTATATAGACTGTTTCTGTATCTGAAAATGGCTTATCTTATTTTCATGTAACATTAATGCATCACTGTGGCCTTTCTAGCAGTGTTTGACTGATTTTTGTATTTTTCTCTAATCTAGGAGCAGAAGCTGCGAAGTGAGCTCGATTTGGTGAGAGGAAATCTCAAAGTGATGTCTGAAATGCTAAATGAGCTACTCCCTGGACAAAGCCAGCCAGATGATACACAGCTGCTACAGGTCTGTGTGTGTGTGTGTGTGTGTGTGTGTGTGTGTGTGTGTGTGTGTGTGTGTGTGTGTGTGTGTGT